AGAATTTTTAAATATCATTAACACTTTCATAATTATTATTGTAATTATTCATTCGAAGCAGCGTTTAATCATCTTCCTCGGCTTATTCACAATTATCTACAACTCGCACGCATTTATCTAAGTAAGATAATACATCCTGGGTGGGATATGTGTTCAGAGCGATTTCGAATGATATACATATTTCGACAAATATACGAGAAAAGCTACGGTCGAAAATACATGTATTACATGTGATCATGTACATGACGTGTATGTTTATGCGTGTATGTGTATGTGCTTGTGCGTGTCCCGCTTCCTCACTAAAGCATGTTACGTAATTCACATGAAATCTCCTTCGCATGATAAATAAAACATAATTCATTATTTACAAGCAGCATCTCCGTCTCGCTCTTCGATTTTCCTCGTTTAATATCATTTTAATCCCTCTCGCGTTCGAAATTCTCTCGAGAGTAGCGCGTTTCACGATTATTTAAATTAGTATTATTATTATTAACTCTTTCATTATTATGTACAGCACATCTCGTTACTCGACAAGCTAAAATGCTTCTTCTCTAAGACGAAGAAGCATCTTAGTTTTTTTTCAACATTATAGCTCAATCTCGAGAGATCTTTCGATGTGTTGAAAACGATATTATTTACGTCCGTAATTATAAAACTAATCTTTCTACAATTTTAATTGGGAAAATTTACACAATTTTGAACATTAAACTACATAATATTCTCTATTAATATTAAAATGTAATCGCTAGTCACAAAAAAATAAGAAATAAATATTGTAATTTAACGTTCAAATATTAATTTTTAAAGGCTAGCTTTAGACGATGGAATTAATTAGAAATCTACATCTTTTGTCAAACAATGCGAACATGTAGTAAACTTTGAAAATATTATATTTAACAATGAAACATATAAAAAAGCACAATTATAAGACAGATACAGCGTTTTCATCATCGAAATCTTTTGCGTTAGATTGATCGCGATCGCATCCACGACGAGACGGAATGACTACGCTCATATATTTTGTTAACATATCGACTATCAACTATTATTATCTGTTCAGGGTCATTGAGCACCAAAAGGAATGACAGTACATTATTAATCTCTGTTTTACTTCACTTTCCGGCGACTATTTACATACTAACACTCTGCACACATGTCGTATCGCGATCAGTGACTCGAGGAATTCGACTCTTCCGCGATCTTCTCGCGCGTCTTCGGAAAAGATTCTCCGCAGATCGCCTGGTATCCGGAAAGACGAAGGAAGAGCAACGTAATAAATAGTAGTCAAGCAGAGAGCTGAAAATTATTTCGAGATTTATTTTAAGCGCCGCGCCTTGTCGATCGCCTTGTATTAAGCATTAAGAAATCGGAGGCACCGATGATACACTCGAGTCTTTCTCAGATCGGAATCCGATCGTCCTTGCAGCTTAAACGATACATGAAATTCCTCGATGATATCTCGAAGGATACGCGGCATAATGGTCATTGCAAAATACTTTTTCCATCAGCTAAACTAACCGCATTCGTGATCGATCCATCCGTATACTCTAATTTCAATAATTTCCCATTAAAATTCGTATTCAAATTTTTTCCTTTCGCCGACATTAGACGCTTTGCCAATCATTTCAACCTGCAGTTTATCAATCTCTCTGGTGATTGATAAATGGTCCTTGAAGGATCGATCGCCGATGTGGATGCTGTCAATCTCGTAAAGAGGACGTTGGGAAATAGCTAAAACTATATATATATAGTATATAAGTATTAATTGTAGAAAGTTCGATAATTATGGTTCATTTACGTACGAAATTTATGCTGAGCGCGGAAGAAAAACCGATGCGCCCTGCTATGTTCTGCTTCTGACTTATAGAAAAATCATGGAAAAATTTTTAGTTTTTCTTTCTTTCTCTTTCCCTATCTCTCTTTTTTTAGAAACGTTTCAGTATGACAAACGTGGTCCATCGTATATATATTTATATGTTAGTGCTAAGATTCGATGATCCATCAAACTTGTATTCACGATTCGATATAAATGTTTGAAAATTTCTTATAATGTAATTATATTAATATTGCATGTGAGAAAATTTAATGTACAAATAAAGTACGCAATAGCGTTGATATATTATTAAAAACACGTGAAATTTGTGCGCTTTCGTAGCTATCTTTTATAATTACCTATTGATTTGTTTGGTCAAAGATTTTTTAAAACCAAATGTAGTTTCTTTTTCATTAATTGCCGCAAATAAATAATTAATTGGGCATAGAAATATTAGAACAAGGTGAGATAAATAGAGTATATTATTTTTGTATTATAAGATTTAATTAAGATATACTTTAGAATATCATATCATATCATATTATATCAGATTTCAAAAAGGTATATAAAAGATTTAACAAGTATGTTTCAATTATCGATAGAATCTTTTTTTTTTTATTATAAATTATTAATTTATTAGTGCAATTAAAAAATCTACGTATATATCAAGCCTCCTCATATAAAATGTCTCCATAAAGACCATTCAATTGAAATAAATTCTAAAATCGAGAATACAAGCAGATGGATCTGTTTAACGCGAATTCTCTCGTAATAATAATAATTAGTTGATTAAAATGAAATGCGATTGCATGAGAGAATCAGGTAATGTGAGCATTAAAAAATTACATTTGTATATCGATATTACGCTTCTTTCTTGGTTACTGCCCGATACTTTTTCTCTCATGTCGTTATTCATTTTTGATATTTCTATTATTTTGCAATTATGATTATAAGCAAGTTCTGGTAAATTTCTAACATGGCTCTCGAACGTATTTAATTAGCTTTTTACTGTTCCCACAAATTTCGCTTGACTCGTGTCTTTCCGAATTTTCCGTCCATGTAATCCAATTTTTTCTTATATCTTTTTTAAATTTGCTGACCTTACAAATCGTTTGAATTTGTAATGAGAGGCTAGATTCGATCATATAATTACGTCCAATCAACAATGCGCGATTGAATACTCTTTGTTCTCTTTCTGCCATCTTTTTGGTGTCGCGAGGGAGGAGATATAAAGAAAGAAAAAAAATATGAGGATCACACAATTGTGAAAAGTCGAGAGCACAAATTATTACAGTTGTGGGTTACTCTTTCTCCTTCCACTTTTAGCTCGATTCGATCAAGGGATTTTCCTTCGCGAGCGATACGAGAGGACTCTCGAAGGACCTCGCGTAACATCCAGTTTATGGCGCATGAAAATAGAGATTATTAGAAATAGAGATTGATAGAAATTATTACAATATTATTTATTGCGGATACGGGATGCACGACGATCCCGATGAATAATATTCCTTTCCTCCACTATTTTGCCGATTCTTCGACTAGCTATTGTACTTGCCATGTTTTTTTTTTCATCAAAAAAGAGAAACTTGCGAAAAATTGCATATTCGTCAAGATTTTATAAGATTGATATCCAATACTTGTAAATTTGTTAAATAACTAATAGTTATTTTTAAATATTCTTGGATATTCTCAAATATATACTTGGACGTCCTTGAATACGCAAATGTCCTGCAAGATCCAAAAATATGAATATTGCTAGATGTATTTAGATATCTAGTATTTATAGATACCTACATCTTGTAAAAATGTGCAATTTTAGAATCTCCCAAATGCGTAATAATTGGGCTTAATTAATAGGGGCTAAACATTACTCCCTTCGCCGTCGAAGAACTTTAATTTACGATTTCGGACGAAGGACCCGCACTTTTATTTTTAGCGAAAGAAACTAACTCACTTGAACTAACTCACTGACCATATCCTGGACTTCCTCGCGATCGACACGTATCGCGGCTCGCTAAGTCTTGGTTAATATATAGATATATATTATATATGTACGTAAGTACGTAGGTATAACAACAGTCAATTATATAAAATTGCGGCAGTGTGCTTTCATGTATAATATTTAAGTTAATCTTGCTCTCATACATACACCCACACATTCTTTCTTTCCCTTTCTTTCTTCGCGGCATAATTAATTTATTACTAGAAGGCGAGGAACACTGGATACCGTCTTTGTATTTGTTTGTCTGTCTCTCCTTCGTGATACATTAATTGGTCAGTCACGTATCGAAAAGCAAAAATACACGAGTCATGTTAGTAACTTTATTCGTTCGTTTCAGAATATTAAATTAAAGACATGCGGATATATATTGCGATATATTGTCGTGGTCATTTACGAAATAATTTTTTCAGACACACACACACAACTCATATATATCAATATATATCTATATCTTTTCCCTACAATATTAAGAAATTAATCCTTCACATGATAGACAAACGACAATTCGTGTTTGTTTTATTCAATATGATTCGATTCTTCTACGAACAAGTAGAAATGATAGGAACTACGTAACGTACGTCTGACGAATCAATCTAATTTAAGAATATAGTTGAGATATGCAAAAACGAATAAAAAAATAATCTCAGTATGCTATAGTAATACAAATAATTGTCGCAACAATAAAATTTTAGAATACAATTCATAATTTTATAGAATTCGATGCCATATGAAGACAAATTGAAAAATTAGAGCATAGAGTTATATACTTGAAAAATTTATAGGAATTGATTTTATAAAGAATTTATCTATTCTAAATATTGAAATTTCTTTATGAATATTATCTTATAAAATCTTATCTTGTAAAATCTCTGCAGGAGAGTAAAAGTTAAAAGACAATTTACCATGAAAACGTAACGTCAACGTTGGACAGAATTTTGGTTCGAGTGCTTGAAATAAATAAAGAAAGAAAGAAAAGAATGAATCGGGAATAGATTTGTTTGCAAATTCTATTTCCACGTGGAGTTAAGAGAACTTTATTTCTTCAATTATCTTAAAGAAAAACGAGGATATATCTCGGTACCCGGCATTCTCTCGCGCATGCTCATCAAACGCACAGTCTGGGACAGTCGCACGGTCTGGGACTGGATATAACTAGGATTACAGCAAATCATATATATGTATATGTACGTATATATACACATTACACTCAATTATACAATTAGTTTGAATTTCGCGGCTACTTCCCCTCCCCCGTTAAATATCCCGCGCGATAACACTAACTGTGCGAAAAGAAGAGAGATTACAGATGTATTTATATATCTATTTATACGTGCGTGTTTATACAGATTACAGTGCATCCTTTTTATATTTTGCGAACCAAACCACGAGGGTGAAATCGAGCGACGATAATGACGGCGATGGTGCGTTACAGTGATAATTATGACGATGATAGGCAATCGCGATCCGCTCGTGGCTTTGTTCCGGCGTCGTAGTGCGTATCTGATCGTCGCCCAATTGTTCTCAACAAGAGCGACATTCGCGTATCTACGTTTAACCCTCCCCTTTCCCTTTGTCTCTTCTTCTTTATAATCGTTTATTATTTTTATATTAGACTATTCGCACATCCCTGCTCTCTCTCTCTCTCTCTCTCTATCTTTTTCATTCTTTCACTCTCTCTCTTTCGCGCGATCATCATTTTACAGCTTTAGACGCATAATAATACTGGCTATTTTTTACTCGTTTTTACGTTTTCTTTTTAAAAGTATAGTTAATTAATCGTAGCGTTTCTTTGTTTACTCGTAATTATTATCATTTTCGATCAGTTTCTCCTGCGGTAACCCCTCCTTCTTCCTCCCTTTACTTCGATCACGATCCGAATCTCGGACAATCAATCGACTGGTATTGATACAATAGCCACACAGTTGATTTTCCGATACTATACTCTTGATGCGAACCTGTCCAAACGATTCTTACGTGTCCTATTGTCGACATGTCGAAACACCGTCTTCCCACACACGCACACTTTCTCTTTCCCAAAGTATATATAACATCTTTATATGTATATTATGTATATCGTCTAGTTTAGTTGTTTGTTTATTTGTTTGTTTGTCGATTTGTTTGTTCATGTATCTTTTTATTTCTGTATACGAGAGCTAGCTAACGCTACAAGTAATAGTTTTTTATCAAAAGCACACGTAATATCGTGACTAGTCTACATATGTATATATAATATGTATATATAGTATATTCGCATATAAACTGATTATTATGTATGCCACGTGCGCATCCTCGTTGACCGGCTCGCTCGCTCAAGTTCTGTGTGTCGTGTTATTATTGTGTGTCATGTTGATGATAGTGAGATGTCGACGATGACGATCGCGGAGGGACAATCTCGTTTCCACCTCCTTCTTCTCCTCCACCTTTTTTCTTTCCTCATCGTTATGCAACTTCCCGGAAAAGAGCATCGAGGGCAAGGTGTATGCGATTATTTGCATTCTACCATTTGCTTTAAGAGATCATGACTCGAAAGGTCATAACTCGGAGAAACTTCCATAATGTATGGAGGACTGAACGTGTGCTTGCGGTTGTTGAAATTGCTATCCCGGTAGCGACTTTCTAACGTGGTGAATAATATCTCTTTAACTTGTTGCGGAAACTTGTTTTATCATTTCAGTTCCGGCTATTGTTGCCTCCGATAGAAGGAATGCGTGTCTCTGATCTATCTTTCTGTAATAAGTAATATATAGTCGTATAGCACTCGCACTTTCTTCATTTTAATAGCTTCATCATTTCGGTAGTGCTGTCGCGTCTCTCATGTATTTAACTATATAAATCGCATATTTTAGCTTTGCACGAAACTCAATTAGAAAATGAGACATGACATTGAAGGGAAAAATTTAACATACATCGCTAGTTTAATTTCGCTATATATTTGCAGTTCTTCAGTATAATCCGACTATTAATCGAACGAGATCATTTTCCCATCTCTCTCTCTCTCTTTTTTTGTTCCCTTTTCATTTAACTTTAACAAATCCTTCTCGCAAGCAGCCATGCCCAACACAATTGACTAAATCAATTAATCACGATAGCTCTCGATCGAAATGTGTAACAAAGATTCTTACAAATCGACATTCGAGTATTAGCACCGTGCAACACAGACTTGCGTCCAAAGACTTACTCATTTTGACATGTGTTTTCTATCTCATATTTACAAAACTAAACGATTAATTCGAGAACATTTACAGGACGATCTTACGAAATTAACAAGTAATCCCTATTTCCGGCACAATTCCGTTTCTGAACCGATCGACCTATCCTTTGGCCCGCACGTCCAGCCTCGAAGCGTAAAATGACGAAACAATCCTCTAACTTTGATGTACGTTTGTTCGCGAAAAGTCGTCTCCTCTCGCACAGCCTCTTCGTTACTCACTGCGTTCATCGCTCGCGTGACGGCAGCGATTAATGCGTTTTAGGTATGTGCTGATGCCGATCGTCGTCACTCGCCTCGACATCACCTTCGACGCCCTTCTCGCCCTCTTCGGGATGATGAGGATTACCTTCTTCGGTGTCGACGCTGCTCGTTGGCGTGATCTGCTCGACGCCGGCACCGACGCCGACCCCGATATTAATTCCGCCCGACGTGCTCGACGTCGTCGTCGTCGTCGTCGTCGTCTCGTCGCTCTTTTCGTATCCTAAATTGCCCAGAAGGCCTTTGTTAATCGGCTCCGGCGAGGCCTCTGACTCTTCGCTACTAGGTGAACCGGGAGACGAGACTATCACCTGCGCGTACAAAATGGACCCACCGTCAAGGTGTGTCGGTTAGTCGCGCACGACGCCGGAATTCCGGCTGCACTTATATACGAGATTGATCAAATGTTTTTTTTTTTTTCAGAAAGTTTCAGAAAATTTTCTTTATTAAATGGAAAAGACGGAAGAAACAAACGTGTAAAAACAAATTTGCACAGTTTGCGTACTGTCACACAAATAACATTATAATATATAAAATGATATTATATAAATATTATATATTTTTTGGCACAGTTTTAAAAAATTTTTCGAAACACTTGATCAATTTCAAGAGTCGCTGTAGATATTCTCTGATATATTACGGAGAGATAGAGTTTCCATTCTTAAATTCAGCAATGCATAAAATCTGAATTTTTAATTAATGTATCGTTCAATTTATTGTCATCAAATTTGATATGTATTTTTAAAAGAGTCTTTAGTTTGTGCAAAATTGATATTTTCAAGTCGATTCTGCATAATTTCGCGGATACCAGAGAGTCGTGGAAGTGAATGCTAATATCGTCAACATACGTAGAAATATGTGCTACATTAATATAAACAAGTATTTACAATATTCGGTATATGTCGGTAACATTTAGATTGTACAAAACGTGATGGCGTATGAAAGTAGAATGAGTTACATGAATGATATACGTTTCTCTGATATCTGAATCGGGCCATGCATGTGACAACGAACTAAAGTAGCGGATGTACATGATAATGAAAACGATAATAACAATAATACCTGTGCAAGAAGCGGCGTCTCTGTGCTGTCAGCGGTTTGGTAGAGCCGGCAATTTGCGCTTGCTCTGAAGAATACGTGCCCAAACGAAAAAAGATAAAGAAGACAACGTAAATTGTTATTATAATAGGAATGACGTCGAAACTATATACACAAAATAGAAATCATATTGTCCTAATATTGTAGATGAATATGAAAGAGAAATGACATTGAAACATGCACGAAGGCACTTCACGTAAATGATATATGTAAAATGTATGTACATGATAAATCTGTGAAGCTTAAACCGCGAGTTGTGATGATTAATGGTAATGATAATGAATAGCATCGTATAAATCATTTCGGCTAGTAGTGGTTTTCAGAGCACAGAAATTCACCTTTTTCGATCGTGAATAATTTTTTCAAGAATAAATTACTCTTTTCTTTATAGTGAAAAATTTATAAAAATTGTTATTTAATTAATAATGTATATATATTTTTTAAGTAATCTGAATAATCTTTAAAATTATCTCTGAGAATAAGTTGAATAATTGATTGAAAACACAATCTTCTTAAAATTACATGCTTTTTAAAACACTATACCAAAATGCTTGCGAGTTTGTTATAAATAAAAATTTTTTGATTGAAATCTTATCATGAATGAAAACATTTGATATGTAAGCAGGGTGAATGAATGATGACTAAATAGCATAGATTCGATTTCATAAGCGCATCGCGCGATTGAGGTTGTCTGCGAAGCGAACAAAGAAGAAAATAGAATCGGTACCTTGCCTACCATGCTGTTCACAACATTTCAATGCATAGCACACGAAGAAAAGCGAGAAAGGAAACTGAGTATATGTATATATTTAGAATATCTGACAGACATATTCTCGATCAATTTTTCTAGTTTCAAAATTTCAAATTGCTTGAGGGGAAATTTATGCAAATATATAAATTCACGGAAACTAGAAAAATTAATGTTTTTAACCCTAAACAGCATCAAGTATATTACTTACGTAAAAATGTTGGAGGTTGATTCACATTCTGTCTTTCACTGTCTCTCTGACTCGATATATTATATTTAATGATAATAAATATTTATTTGTCATATATTCTTTAACTTTTTGATTCGAAAAAAATCTGCATTTCCTTTACATAAATTTATTCAAATTTTTATAAAAAATTATTCGCAATAAAATAATCAAAAAGATCAGCTTTTATTCATACTGTTTAGGGTTAATATTCTCTTAATAATAAATTGAACTCAAATCGTGCCAGAGATGCACGAAAAAAATGACGGACTCACCTGACGAGGTTTGACCGGTGGTGGAGGACGAATAGAGGGCCCGAGGACTGCGGCTGCCGTAGTTTGGGGTTGATGATGAAGTGAGGGTGGCTGCTGCCAAGGCAGCCCTGTGCGTCCCAATGTTCCCTGTAGTTGCGCCTGTAGCTGTTGTTGCACCAATTGCTGCGCCTGTTGCAGATGTTGCTGACTGCTGCTGCGCTCGACTGCTGGCATAACTCGAGGAAGTGTTGAACCGACTGAAGAAGTCTTCCGAACTGTCTGTGAAATTAGCTACTGATTACTCGGCTTTTAGCTCATGTTTTCTTTTTAATGCACGTCGCTGCGTATGTATAGCGCTTATAAAAGCGTTGTTAATTTTTTTCTCACGTTGTTACGCAGCATTTTAAGTCAAAATTCAAACTCGGTTAAATTGCATGAAATGCAATTAAAATAATTAATTTAAATTTGTAAGAAAGCAAATTCTTTTTTATGGAGATACATTAAAAACAAGTACATTACCTGACTTGACTGGCCAAATCTCCAGTAAATACTTAAGCACGGCTATCGGTTGTTGGAAATCCAGCGGAGGTCCATTTTCATCGGAATGTAACATCAATACTGGGCCGAAACAAACGGCAAGACTTGCTGGTGACATTTTATTGCATTGCGATACCACCATCGCCAAATGATCCAGCAAGTAAATCAATGTGCACTATTGCCAATCAATAATACGCATAATTAGATTAGGGAAACTAATCATCTCAACAGATAAAAACCTCGTTATATTTATCTTCTCTTGTAATCAATACATGTTTGAAAGTAAACCACGCATAAATACGTACCCTATTGACCTTAGGCAAACAATCTAGTATACTGAACATAAGCTTAGCGTTGCCCTGCGGGTCGTCCGGCAAACAGACGGCCAGTGCATCGACCATCATTTGGTAGAGGCACTTCGTGAAGAGAGGTTCCGGAAGTTCTCGTAAATAATCCTTCAGAACGCCTGAAAATAACATCGCGGTTACAGAATTAGCGTTCTCGTTTATTCCCGAAACAGTAGTTTTAGATATTTAATGCACGCATTACCTGTGATGACATTGATATCCGGCACGTTGTCAGGCGACAGATTTACAGACCGTGCATTCCTTTCGAAAGCTTCTCTAAGTATTCTCTTCTTGGTCGCCGAACCGCAGAGTCTATACAAACCTATTGCACGAAATACGAACGATGAAGTGATAATTCTAGTCGCAACACTCTCGAGATTATTTGATTCTTACCGATGATGTCGAGCCCTCTTCTCTCCACCTCCTCGACGCAACGCCACACGATAATCGGAACGTTCGGGACTCCCATCGCCAAAGCCGTGGAAACTCCACCGGGAACTCCGCCAGTCTTAGTTTCTCGACTTACCTAATTATTTAAAAAAATATATGCAACACCTTTTTCACGACTTAAATAGGTTGAAAGTATTATTTAAAAACTTATATATTTTCGAGTGAATATCGAGTTGAAAATTGACACAAAAATTTACCATTATAAGAGACAGAAAACTTACCACTGTATCTAGATCAACTCCGAAAAGAGGTGCTACCCTTGTAGCTAGAGATATGACCGGTAAACCTCTTCGACGGAAAGTTTGTTGAGCGTCGGTGTATCGCAGTTTTAAGTAGATTGTGCCGCGTGGCTCGACTTTAACGGCCAGTTGATGCTCCGGCGATTCTTTCAGCAGACTCGCTAAATGCACCGATCCCTTGTAACAGAGCTTATGCCTGTACTGCGGGTCCCAAGAGTAAACGAGCAGATCCAGCTGCCTATTGCCTACGAGATCCAGCTCGAAGGTCTCGTCCCAGTCGAACATTAAATCGCCGGTTCGCACTACTGTTCGCGCTTTGTGCACCCTGTCGCATTCCAGTACGCAGTACAAGTCTCGCAAGCCGCAACTAGCTGTAATTATTTTTGGCAAATTAATACATTTATTTAAAGAAGATTATTCATAAGCATTGCATTTTTCGATCGTGTGAAATTAGAGCGTGAAACAAATATAACTAAAACGAGTAAAATACTGCCAATCTCGTGAAAACCGTACATAAAAATGCCTCATCTACCTAAGTTTGGCTGACCGGAAGGAGTGGAAGGTGTAGTGGCAGCCGAGGAGGTCGTAGTCGTTCGAAGCCCACGTCCCGCTAAGAGATGAACCGATAATAATCCGCTGACTCCGCTCGCGAAATCGCCACCAGTCGTCTCCCCGAGTGAACTCAAAAGGGAGCTCGTTGAGCTCGGAGTGCCCACGGTCGGCGGCTTCTCTATCTTATACTTGAGGAACTCTGCGAAAGGGAACGATCCTTCAGTGTTTCTATTTCTTATCGGGGATGAAATAGTATAAACGAATAGAATAGACTAACTAGTTTCACCTGCAGGATTAATATCTAGCAGTATTTGACCCTGAGTTCTGGTAGGCGTTGGGGTAGGTATACTCCTCGTAGATTCAAGATCCAACAGATTTCTAATTCTCCTGACTGATGTCGCCCGCTGGCTCACGGAGCTCGTTAACGATGGTTTCTGGGTTACGAGGGACGATCGGGCGCTCGATGCTACCGAGGCTGGCCTTGGATTCGTTGTACCGCGATGACATGTCGAGCTGATTGCCGTCGACGCTCTGAGATTTGCCAGATTGACCTGTTGGGCTGACGCCGATCTCGTCGACAGGCGATCGAGTGTGCTCGAGAGCGGTCTGTACCCACCGTAACTGCCGTATTCACCCTACGTGAATCAGAAATCGATTATTATATAAACATTCGATTTAAGCAAATGAATTTATCTTTAATATTTGTCTCTCTTAAGAATATATATTATATAAATTTATTTTATTGTGAAAGTGTTTGTTATCTTGTGTGTATTTAGCATTAGAATTTTATTCAATTAAATAAATATGATACATATTGAAAAATAATTACAAATTTTTATCGAAAGCCAATATAAATAAGTCAATACAAGTTTATAAATCTAAATAAATTTGTAAATATAAACTAAAGAGAATAATAGAAATATAAACTATAGATTTTTAATGGACAAAATCGTAATATATATCTGCATTGAATGAATCTTCTATTTCTTGATAAATATATGAAACACTATAACATAAATTTAAAAAAATTTAGAATCAATTAAAATAACGAATCTTACCTGATTTAATAATTAACGTAATAATAGAAATAATAATAGTAAATGAAAGAGAAAATAGAAATAATAAATAATAAGTCATAAAAATAAAAATTCAAACAAGATTTATCACCATTAAACTATTCCACAAAATTAACATAATAAAATTAACTGATTGCAGAAGTCGCAAGTTCGTGAGTTCCAAGTGATACCTGATTGACAGCTGCGTGAATATTCTCGGCGCTATACGTGTAACGAGGTGGTCTACTTGTGGTCGCCCTGATCTGCTCGTACAAGGCGCTGGTACTCGGGGTGCGACTTAGCCAGGCACGATACTCATCCGACGTGAATACGCTCGGCGAGGACGGTATCCTGCCTGTTGCGATTTATCGACACGATCAGTCTACAGTAAGTAAGCTGTGTTCTCAGTTATCGCCTTTATTATTTAAGCTTACCTCTATCACGCCTGATGGAAGGCAATTCCGGCGCCGATAGAGCGCCGTCGCTATCCTCTTGATCGATCAGACCCGACGCGACTGTGCTCAGACCAGATCTAAGTCCAGGCTGCTGAGGCAACGTCCGACCGCTTCGTGGTAACGAGTTTGACCTTAAACCTGTATGACAAGTCTCGTGATTTATGGCACTCGTCCGTAGAGAATCACGTTTTACTAGAGGCTTTGAATTTAAAACGAAACAGCTAAATCGTTTGCAACGAGATACTTGACAGTTCTCTATAAATCTTCAAATATTATATTATCAGTAAATTATATTTCCAAATTTTTTGTTAAAATTATCTAAATAATGCAAATTTATCGTTATATCAGCCTATGCGTTAATTAAAATAGAAACATAATATTTGCTTATTCAAGGAAATTGATTTAAGCCACACGAGTTTATTAATTGCAATTAAAATTTAAATGATACGATCTCGAAGAAAAGGGAGACATAATTTAAATTTAAATTATCTCGAGTTCCTCTCACCTGAGGAACTCTGACCGATTTGTGACCTCGAAAGAGTAGCTAAATGCGATACGACGCTACTTTGAGGTGGATTGTTCATGTTGTGCCTATAATAGTAATATGCTGATTTCGGCGAGCTGGAGCAAGTAGCCTCGGTGTCGGAGGCATAATCCAATGAAGGTCGATGTCGCCTCGTCAAGGTGCCAAATTGTCCTTGTCTCTGCGCGGCGGACGTTATGTCAGTCTGTCCACCATACCTCGTATTGTAACGTAATGCTGATGTACCTAATAATGACAGAAAATTACCTTAGAATATAACAAGCGTATAGAATATAACAAGCGAATATAAATCATCACAAAGAGAAAATTATTAGATTATTTTTATCTTACTTTTCTCTCTCTCTCTCTCTCTCTCTCTAAAACGTATTTGACTTGGAGAATAAATTTCTCTAAATATATTATCCATTGCATGTTTCTCCAAACCATTGTTGCATAGAATATATCAAGATTCATTTCGAAGATAAATAAATTACAAGAGTATTCTCCAAAATTTCTGGAGAGCAAATATGGGAGTGGAAAATGCATAAACACCGGCTGACGGAATTTACCGCCCGTAAGTCTCGAAAGCCCCACGTAAGGGCGGCAAGTAAACTCATTACGAACCTGATTTCAAGCTGGATCTAAGAAGGGTATGTCGCGCCGGCGTCGTGATACTCGTATAATCGACTCGGGGTAGATGCTGGTCGGAACCGCTTCTCGGCATGATCCTTCCGGTTCCGTGCTGGCTGTAGCCATAATGGGTCGACTGCGCGGTTTGACCCGACAACCTGCCGCCGACTGATTGCATTCCGCCACCCGTCGACATACGGCGGCCATTCGACGAGGGCATCATGGGCCCCGTGTAGAAGGGGTGTACCTACACTCGCATCATCACACAAAGAAATTTTAGTCACGATCCATAAACACCGCATAAGGTTTCGTTAATATTGCCAATCGCTGCGAATTATAAATATTCCCATTTCTTCCGCTAAAAAAAATACGTCAACATGTTATACAATTTCTGATACATATGTGTATATTTTGATTTTGAAAGTTGAATTTTTACACGAAAAATAACAGCAATTACAACGATAAAATTTTTGTTGAAATACGATTCACGATATCGATTGCTTTTTGTTAATATAATAATTATTTTATAGTTTTATATATATTATATACTCTGACAGACAATGGATATGATACGTAAAAGACAAAAATTTTACACAGTTTATTATATATATAATTTTTTTTAAAGTGCTATAAATAATTCATTAAAATTTCACAATATAATTTCTTTGATAAATTATTAACGTTTTAATAGATTTATGGGATAATATTACGCACAAAATATACTGGCAATCGATAAACGCACATGCATTCGATCGTGATAGCGTTAATCACGATTAACATTATTCAAAACACAGACAGGAAATACAATCGAAAGAACAAGTAGCAAGCTTACAGCAAGGAAATATAAAATTAGAGATCACATCATACACACAAACAGTGGCAGCAGGTGTTTGCGATTTTTCTACGTTTTAAATATATACATATATAAATGTCTATTAATTCGTATTGCGTTTATTTTCTAGGTAAAACTCGTTAAACAAACGCATTAGTGCATCGGAGAATGATTAAAAATTTAGTCGTTTACTATTAAACTTTTCCCGATTTCTCGTTCCGTTTACTAACTCTTAATTATATCCTATTGCAGAATAATTTATTTTCCTGCGGACTTTTTTTTTTCATTAATCTCTATCAAACTTTAGCTTTGCAAGCTTCTACTGGAAGCTGCAATTTTTATGATGACAAGAGAAGCAATTTAATTAATAAAGAATTTATAAGCTGTTGTTATATAACTTATTCTGCAATTTTTCGACAATTGAAGAAAATACTACAATATATATAAAATAAAAAATACGTGCAACTTTTGAAATCTTTTTGGTATATAATTAATTGTCTTTCGCATTTATTTGTTTCTCGATCTTCTCATATTTCAAAACTAAAAAGGCTCTCTCTCGTATTGATCTTTTTTAATATAATGAACCAAACTTTGCCAATGATGAATGAAATTCAAAATGCAATGCGTGCACTCGCGCATTTGTTTGTCAGGTATTCGAGAGAAAAAGAGAGAGAGAGAGAGAGACAGAGAGGGGAGAGTACTTATACTCGTGTCCATAACAGAAAATTGCAATCATACACAAGTCTAGGTATCAAGATAAAGTTTGTGTTATTTTTACCTTTGTAAAATCCTGGTTAATTTCAATGTAGCATTCATTCATAGAACCGATTAGTCATATGAAATACGTGGTCGGTACGCGAGCGGATCGATTCTCCGCGTCGTTCGGAAAAAATTCAGACATTTATCTTTTTTTTATTTTCGCGAGAAGTTTTCGGTATCATGGGTAATGATTTCATGTGCGATATTTAATACTCAAAAGATTTCTTTTATCGTTGTATCTAAATAACACTTTGACCATCGAAAAGTTACACGATTCTATGATGTACTTTAATTTTCCTGCGCAATATCGAAAAGTCTTGTTTTGCGGATTATTCTTCGGGCTTTTCAATTCGAATAATCCGAAAGACTCGGAGATTGCGACAGCAAGTGTCCCGAGACATTGTCACGAGTTCACCACTTTTTTTCGGTCATAAAGTAGCATTCATTGGAGACAGTGAAGGACAAACAAGTATCGAATTGGTGCAGACAGGTGTGAAATGGTGCTCGATCCACATCGTCTAGAACATCTATGCATATAACTACATCGGATCGAGATTGCAGAAACGACAAAATGTCGAAGAAATTATAATATAACGGTATTTAAATAAATAATAAATAATATAATAAAGCACTATATATATTCATAAATTAATGTAAAATATTTTTACATTTTAAATATTAGACAATTAAAAAATTATTCTTATCATTATCTTAAAATAATATTAATATTCAATAAGGGAACCAATAATATTAGCTTCTTATATTTAATCGGCAATTTTAATATTGTGTAATATATTAAAATTCTGATTATTAATTTTTTTGTAAAGGAATTGAATCGTAAAGATTTATATTTTATTACAATTGAAGCAAACAATTTAAAAACTTGTTTGCTTTCTCATTTTTAACTTATACCGAAATAAACAGAACAGTGATTTGCTTTCTTCGACGATACATTTTCCGTCGTTCTGATGGATCTCGATCCGCATCAAAATTTTTGTATCAGCGTTTGAAACATTCCGCAAGACTTACTTTCTCAGCTAAGCTTTCCAACGTTTTCGGGTAACCACGCTCGTATGATTGAAAATGTTGCGTCGAAGGCTTCGGCTGATGCGTAATAACCGGCGACGGTGGCGGTTGATAGGACCAGTGACCTTCCGGTCGTGAATTGTAGTACAGATCACCGTTGCTCGATCCGAGATCCTGGCTTGATCCCAAACCCGTGAGACCGAGTCTTGATCGCGACGGCAACATTTCGCGTCCGTCGCCTCGTCTACGGCTACTGCCATCTCTGCATGTAAAAATTTCGAATTTTATACATGGCATATTCTATTCAAAGCTAGTCGTTACCGATGCAATTTATAAAATAAAAAATTATCTTAATTTATGGTAGAAATAATTTAAATCATTAAATCATCATTGTCGAAATATCCTGGAGTATATGATGTCAAATTGTTCTCTCATCCTCTCCGTTGAATATCAACTTTTTATTAATAATTAATTTACATTTTTAACAAATTTTTAAATATGAAAAGTAAAAATATGACAATGTTTAAAATCATTTATATAACATCTCGAAATATCTATCCTATTTCACATATTTGAGAGAGAGAGAGAGAGAGAGAAAGATAAAGAGAGATATCTTTTTCTTGTCATTTTCAACTTTTTTTTGAAACTCGAAAAGAATTGCGAACAAACACAAGGGCAATACCTGACATGATTACTCGTCACGTGGTCATTCTCATCCTCGTTTAATTCCCTCTTGATGACTACCACGGGTGGCGCCTTGTGTTCAGTCTGACGGACATGTGAAACCGGTTGATGTGGACCATGTCTTGTGGCTAAAACTAGTCGCCTCGGTATCGACATGATGATGACGACATCGTCTAGACTCATGTGCGTCACGTCGACCAGATTCACCGCCAAGATCTCATCGCCCACCTGCAAGCGCGAATGCATGATGGCGAATAACTGATAATAGCACGCGGGAGACAATCTTGTCGTGAGACAGACGAGAGAATAAACATCCTCCCCCCGAATGTGGACAGATGTGATCGATTCCTGGCTCGTGAAATGTCAAGGTGCAAAAGTATAAATTTAATTCGGCGCGTTTTCACGCCCCAACCCACCGATCTCGCGCGACAGAAATAGGTTCCGGTCCTAAATGACCAATTTGTTTCGAACAACGACGGCAATTAAGTCCTCGCTTGACAAAAAAAAGAGCGAGAGGACGACTCGCTGCTCGCTCTCTTCGTCGCAGCGATTTTTCACTGTCACGACGACAGAAAATGAAAATTCGCAGGACAAGGCAAAGGTAAGGATTCTCACCTTCAAACAGCCGCTATTGTAGACGGCAGTCTCCAGGGCTATCCTGGAAATAAAAACCCCATCGTTCCTGTCGACGCCATTGCCTTCGCGTATGTAGAGACCGAGGGTCTGTCCCGGTCGTTTGATTATCTCGACAAAGTGGATAGGGTGTTTAGGATCCTGAAACAAGGATCGCGAACGAATATATTTTTAATTCGTAATATATTTTTAATTCAAATATCTCGCAATGTTTGCGCGTGCTTGGACGAAATGTAGAAATTACACCGCGCAAAATTGTTCCATTGTCGTGAAAATAATTTTCCTCGTGCTGTGACAAATGATCGCAATGCAAGCAAATACAGTTATACCTGTTTGTTTAATTTCGGAAGTTAAATTCACGGGTAATATGATTTCAACGATTTATTTGATAGTCACACTAGTCGGAGTTTTTTTTTGTTTCAATTATTATTAAAGGTAACAAAAAATTATTCACAAAAATTAAACAAATTGAAACAAAAGATTTATTTCAATCTGTGTTTAACTTTCATTTAAATTTTCATATCTAGTGTAATATTTGAATTGTGCAATTCTGCATTTGTATAGTCTATTTCCTTTACATTGAATCTCGCTTGGGTGTGTCTCTGAAACTATATAATTTAATAAAAAAATTAATACATGTGCAATCTCCGTACATGATAAGATATAAAAAAGCAATAGATATAAATAGCAATAAATTAATCTAATTAAATTATATAAAAAAAATCAGGAGAATAAAAACACAGATTAAAAAGACAGATGCAGTACATTGACAGTAACAAAAGTTTACTGCGCGTGCAGTAATTTATGACAAGATATTACGTTTCAACGCGAATGAATCACAATCTGTCGGAAATAGACGGTCCGTCGATAACATACCTGCATGGCAATAAATTTTTTCGCCGCCTCGGAAGCCTGTCTACCCATTTGCCGAGGTTCAATGACACGCACGACCATCTCGCCTCTTCGCTCGACAGCTTCGAGGGCCGCCGCTGTCGAAGCGTCATGATCGTTTTCGACAGTCTCGATCTGCTTGAAGATCTCTGTACTGATCCCGCTCACCTGCAACGGTAGATCCTTCCGTTTTACGGAATGCATAGCGAAGCTTTTATTATCGATTCGTGAATGCGATGAAATTATCTCGACGACAAAAGCAATATTTCTTTAATTCATTATCATATTATTCATCATTTTTACCAGCAATATTCTCTCTCAAATATCTTAAATGAAAGAGTATAAGATAAATAGTGAAATAATTGATATAAATAATAAGTAGAGAGAAAAATATAAAAATATTGGTCTGGTAAAATTCAATTAACTGTACAATATTAATGTTATTTAATTAAAAGAAAATGTTCATTTAAAAATAATTCTGTCTCTCTTGATAACGGAGTAAAATATTATATTTTACACATCTACTTTGTTTGTTTAGTAAAGAGGAACTGAATAATTTAATTTATTAATTTTAAATGTTATTTTAGTAACAGTCAAATTAGACGTATATTGTATAACGACTAGAGCACATGCTAATATATTTCTATTAGTCGTCGAGATAACTTCACGAGCTACACAATAGAGAATGTCGGGATCCATCATCACGTTATCCAATTGAAGTTTGCCGACGCAACGAACTCTAAATTTGTCCATTGTATCGGCAACGAATTAATGAAGTGTCACCTACCTTCCTGAAGTCTCCTTGAATGACCATGGGGGGTGGTTCCTTGGGGCGCAACTGGTTGGCAGGTGCCTGCCTCCCAGGACTTGCGCTTATGTCTGTCACTTCCCCCCGGCCCTCCTACAAAACAATGACCCATTATTTTCGTCATTGATTAATCTTGAAACAAATTAGGCCGATTATTGTAATGGACAACAAAAAAATGAATGAATGGCGATCGAAAAATATTTCGTGTTGTTGAAATAAAGCGCTACATACACTATTAGCAGTGAGAGTCGAGATGATTTTTATAAAAAACGAATTAGTCAAGATCTAAATTAATAATATAAATACATAGCGACATAACTACAAGCCATAAATCAACTACATATATCGCATACTTTGGAAATTATCACATCGGCATCTTACATTATCTAATAATAACATTACACAAGGCATTCGACGATTGTGTAATTTTTCTGGTATTAACAATAACAGATTATTTAATAATAAATATATACAATAATGTTAGTAGTGATATAAATTACTCAAATAACTTGTTTAATTTTGCGACCTATTTTTATAATTTGGAGAATTATTTAAATAAATGAGAAGAAAGTTTTCCTTTTTAATATTATATGTATAAATTAAAGATATCTCGTACGAGAATGTATGAGATAGAAAAAAGGGGAGAGAGAGAGAAAAAGATTATAAAAAGAAAAAATATTTTTCACAAGTACGTGATTTAGAATTCTCACGATATGCACGTGTACGTTTGAAACAAAAATCTCCTAATCAATTTGATTAATTTAGTTAAAATATATACAATATTTTATATGTTTTTTTGTAATTTACAAACAAATTTAAAAAATTTTTCGTTATAGAAATTTCTATTAATTTTTGAAAATAATGCAAGAATAAATTCCCTCGTTTTTAGAAATATCTTTTTTTATTTCATCACTTGATAAAAAAATTAAATTTGTCAACGCGCTCGATAAGATGTATCCGATAAAAATAAACGGTAAAAATTATGCATCTGCAAGTGCAATAAATTTTTAAAAGTAATTGGCTTTAATTTTTGAAAACCTCATATTAACTTTAATTAACATGATTGCCTGCGGTAGAATGAGATTGCGGAATATTTAATTCAAGAAAGGAAACGTCAAATATTATTTAATTATTCGAGATAAATGCGACGTTTCTCTAGATATAAAACTCATCGACATCCTTTCGAAAGCATGAGAAGCCGTTAACGAAGCACGCGGCGTTTCGCGGAAACTCATCAATCTGTCACTTTGGCATAACACAAGCACCGTGAGTCCTTATGGATCGTGATTTCAGCCGGGTTCACGTCTCATCGAGACTATCGCGAGAAAACACATCCTTCGCGAGGCACACGCGTTCGAAGCAAATTCGTCCACCTTTCCAAGCACATTTCAACCGCTGTCAAACGCTGTCGTAAATGTTTGCGCGCGCGCATTGATTACGCGACGCATAGATACGAAAGAACTATTCTCTCTCCCGCATAAAACTCAGGATCTTTAGAAAAGAAAAGAGCCTCGGAGCGATCGCCCGCGTCTCGTTCACCTGTCAGCGCCCGTTCGCTCGACAGGCGTTAACGGCCAGCCGGGAGATTATTCCGGTAGCCGGGAGAAGACAGATCACAAAAGATGAGCCGTGTTACACGCACCCCGCGGAGGCATGTGACCGGGACGAGCCACGCGGCGGTACCGCACATCCGGTCGCAGAGCGACAGCAGGGACATCCACGCTGCCGTGGCCGATTTACAGCCCCTTTCGCTGGCCGGCGCCGGCGGTTCCTGGAGTTCCTCGCCGCCCTTCCTTCCCGCAGCCCACCACCCCCGTATTCCGTCCGTCTTCTCTTTCCGTCTTTCCGTCTCACCCGTCTGCCGGGCGAACCCGTCCACCACCGCGCGTGTCGTGCTACCTCGTCGCGGCGGTCCCATGCGTGCGCGAATCGTCCTCGGTTAGCCCCGTGAAGACGACGCCGGGTCTTTTCCTCCGACCTGTCCCTCTTCTCGAGTGTTTCCGCAAGCCGCCAATCTCCTTCCGGTCTCACGTGACCGGCGAACCGTGCGAAAGGGCGCGCGTAGGACGTAGCATAGCTAAATGCCCGATGAGGGTATGAGTGCGACAAACAAGCAGAATGATGATAGAGTGACGGAGGATGAAGAAACAAGAATGTGAGAGACAGAGAGAGAGAGAGAGATAGAAAGAGAGAGAGAATGAGAGAGAGAGATTACGCGCGGATTACCTTTCGGAAGAAGAAACACCCCGAGCCACCCCTGTCGCACATTCTCGCCTACCCCATGGTGGCTAATATGGCGGGAAGCGGCGTTCAGAGGAACGAGTACGAGTCTCGGTGAGAAGGGTAAAAGGCGCGCGTGCGCCATCGCCGGGAGGTTACCGTGTCGCCGCGGAATAGTATGAGTGAGTATCGACCCGGCGTGACGTCACCTCACCCCCCCGTACCACCCTCAACGTATAGCCACCCCTTGTCCTCGTCTCTTACCCCCCGCGACATACCGCTAAACGTGGCGTCTCTCATCCGAATCCTCTCCTTCTTTCCACGTCGTCCTCTTCCTCTTCCCTCGTTACCTTGGTCCTGGCTGTCTACCTTGTCCCCATGGCTCCCCGTTCTTCACCCTTGCCTCTCATCGTCTATCCTCCCGATGGCGCTCCCTGATTCCCGTCCTTGCATTCCTACCCTTCTCCTCTTTCCTCAGGTATTTCCGAGTGTTTCGGCAATCTCGTTCGCGCCTTTTTGTTTAGACCGAGATAGGATCGCGCCCCTTTCTTTTCTTTCGCTGGCGCGTCAACTATTCTGTCTCCTTTTTAAGCATCCTTTCTTCCTCTTCCTTTTTCGTTATTTATTCGTGCATTCTCCCTGAATTTTTCGCAACTTACACGAAATACCTGCGTTTTCCCCTAAGCGGCTTTTCGTGCCTCTCGTATCGCCTTGCACATCGTCTTCTAATTTTTTCGCGACGCGTCTCCGCTCTCTCCTCCTCTCTCGTATTCTCTCGCTCTCTCTTCCGCCTCTCATTTCTCCTCGACAATTCCCGCCTTTTATCTCTTCCCACTTGCGGCTACCCTCAATTGGATTTTCCACGTTTCGTTTACTTCTTATTGCAGTCGGTAGCACTCCACTTACGAGTGTCGGCGGCCGCGCGATTTCTTCGTCGACCTCACCTCATACGACAACCTTGCTCGCGATTTTTTTTTTCACGGCAGAGTGGATTTTTGCGATTCGTAAAAGTGGATTTCTTTCTGATTCGCACTTCGCGTTTCATTCTCCATGCATCAAAGTGTCGTCTCGGTCGTCGGTTTCTTCCATTGTGATCTCATCTCATTTTTGCGCGTATCTCGCTTCCTTGCTCCCCTTCCTTACGCTTATTTTGCTACTGTTGCGTTTTTGCTCATGTCCTCGGACGACAGCAATTTGCAGATCGCACATCCTTACACAATGTTCGTGTCATCCATATATTTCTCTAATGACAGTCTCTTATCTTCGATGTGTGCGTTCACCCTTTTTGCGCCCCTCTTCGCGCAGCTTTTCTCGCTATGCCCTCGATATACATAATATTTGTTTTTTCTCGAGGTTCTTCACCCTTCCGTCACATATGTTCTCGAGTTGGCTTCTCCATCGTGCCAACTTCTTGCTCCACATATGACGACGGTACGCAACTCCATTACAGACAGCAGCTGCGACTCGAAGCTAGCGACTCACCCCTGGAGCGATAAATAAGCCTGAGGCGCAGGACAAACGTGAGAAACGCCGGTAATGCACTTTCCAAAGTAGTCTATATCATTCGCGCTCTCGTTGACATAATGTGAGTCGTTTTTCAGCTGAAGGGGTATCTTCTTGTGGAGAACGCGAAGCGTTGTTGAATGAGAGAAGACGTTGAATGCTACGATCGCGATCGTTAAATGTTCAATGCCATTTCCATTGAACGGCAATCTTGTGCTATTTTTTGTTCGTCTCGTAATCGAAATATAATAACAAATCTGGCAAAGAGCGGAAATCAGGAGAAAACGTCAGATGCAGGCAATATCTCGCAAAAAGGACTTCTTTTTTTAATCGAAAGATTTTATTTAATATTAATCGCGTTATTTCATTTGATTTCACTCGAAATAATGGAAAACCTACGTAACGATGTCACTTACAGAGAAATAATTCTACATCGTCGGGAACATCAAAGGTTATAAAATGAAAATTGATGCGACTAAAATTTCACTGATAATGGCAGCGATAAAATCTGTGAGTGAAAATATCGAAAGGTAACGATCTCCTGTGCAATTTAAACTGATTTCCATTCTGCTAAAATACTCGTAATCCAATATTTCCTGGAAAATCTGTTAATGCTTATTACGATAATCTGACTCGCGGCGATCTTGGAACATGCGCTTCGAAAATCATGACCTCCCGGCGAGCTGATTCAACGTCTGCTCTTTTCTGCTTTTACTTTATCCGATCATCATCTTCTCTCATTTCCTCGTCGCTCATCGCGTTATTACTTTACCAACGTATCCAGTGATCTACATGGATTCTTATCACAATGATCACAAGATGAGGCAATGGACATGACTTTGAATTATTTTCCAAATTTGAATAGTACAGAGCAAACGCACTGACCATATAATGGATAGTAGCGACAATAGTAATAATAGTAGCAATAATAATGCAGAGATAGCACAAGGTATTATGTGAATGACAGTATATTAATGTTGTGCTTCATACATGTGCATACACACACACACATACTTTCCGCTTCCAATTTAATCCACTCTGCTTTTTCCACCCCCAGTTTCCTCTCTCCCTCCCACTCACCTTTCTTTCTTTCCTCCATTTTTCCCTCCCTCTTTTTCTTTCTCGATATACTCGCCTACGTTATGAAGTAGGCGGAAATATCTTTAACAATATACCGCATCGTTAGTGTGAGGAAAAATTGATTTTCCGATTCCCCATATTCCCAACTTACGCAACATATAGTCGTTGCATTTATTAAAGTATCCTGCCTTCTAAATTATCAAGATTTAATTTTATTATAAATAATAATTTAATTTTATATTAAAAATTATTTTAATTTTATAATTTATAATAATTTATAATAATATAATTTTAATTTTATATTAAATTTTATTATAAATAATAATGATTTGTATCTTAATCGTGCTAATTCGAGATTTTAATTAAATGGTGCAAAATTAAATCACATTTTTCTAATTCATTTTTTGCGATAATAAAGAATAAAGATAAGATCGTTCATTGGGGCTTTCCCTATTGTGATTATGCACTACTTGTTAATATTCCGCCAGATATAATTGTAGACACCGGTGTAAACGGTCCATTGAGCATTCCCGCAAATTTACGTCATCCCTATATGAGGACGCAAGTCAGTGATAATTTGTTTCATAGGAAGGACTCTCTGAATTTAATGTTTCCCGACCTACGCGTTCGCCAAACTCTCGTACTGTCGAGTTACTCGCTGGCAAAGTGGCAGCATGGATTGTGCAACTTTTGACAACGAGTACTAAATTCGTGCTTCGCTTTCGCGTGTTTCGCGTTACCACTCGGGATAGAAAGTTCCACGAACATGAGTTTTGTGCACACAGCGTATCTAGTACCACGTTGGATATTCTTTACTTCCGGCAAAAAATCGAAATATTCGAGTACGTATTTCGAGATGCGAATGACAAAGATTAGTATTTTTCATGAAAAACCACGTAAAATATAATCATCTTATAATATGAAAGGATATATAAGAAGATTAGAATCGAGAAATGAATTTAATTGCATCGAGATTATTCAATCTAAATGTATAGCTCATTTTTGTCTTTTAAATAAAATGAATCTTTTGAATCCGTTGAGTGGAAACTGTAACTTGATACACATGTAGATTTTACAATTAGATTTTATAATTTTTCTACAAAACTTTATGTAACGCGTTCTTAAATAAATTCTTGGAAAAAGATTATATTTGAGTAAAATATAATTTCTTTTTTTTTTTATTCATCGAAAAATGGAAAAGGGAAACAATGTATAATTCACATTATGAGTTCGAGAAATAATTCGATTAAGACCTCATTATCGAATTTGCACGCTTCATTAGTTTTTGGGTTCTCTAAATAAATTACTCTCGCAGCTGCGTTTTGCACATGAGAGAACTCGGAGAAAAATTATCCCCGCAGCCAAGCAGAAAATGAACTTTTACTTAAGGGGTTAAGAATGAAGAATAAGGGCAAAGTTTGGCCTACAATCCAGAAATATGTTCCAATGAAATTGAATCCGTAGTGGCCAATTTATCCGACCTCTATTTCAATTTAGTACAAATATCTTGAGCACTGAATTTTCGTTAGCCAACCCAGATTTTTTCAGAAATAGAAAATTCCAAAAAAAAAAGACTACGGGAAAAAGAAATCTATTTCTTTATTCTTCTCAATATTTCTAAAACTTATTTTTAAAAAACTCAAAAAAGTTTGATTAATTCAATTATTTGTTTCGATGATAATCAAATTAATTAATTACAAGTTGTGCAATTAAGGATGAAAATACGCCTCGTCAGAAATTTCTCGATTAGAAAAAGAAGTTGGAAGAGAATAGATGGAGCGAGCTAATAAATAAAATAAAATAGATACACACGAGACAACGGGCGCTATTGAAATTCACCGCGCGTCGTGTAACACGCTAAGTTCGAGAGGAGGAAACGGGGAGGAAATGGCATGCATAAATCGCGTCGCTGGGAGGCGCGTTCTTCCGAAAATTTCCCGAAAGAAATCTCACGAGGTAACTCTCGAGGGCAAAGATCGGGGCGGAAGGTCGTCGATACGCCACTGCTCGTAGTAGTACGCGAATGTCAGTAGTAAAGCGTAGTACATGTAGTAAGTAGAGTAATACGACGTGTACGCAGGCGTACGCACGTCCGGTATCAGCGGTCGGCGTGAGGGGGAGGGGCAGGGGGAGGGGGAGGGGGAGGAAGTACGAGAGGAATGATTCGAGGGCGAAAGAGGAGAAAAGAGACGAGGGGCAGGGGTGAATGAGAAAGAGAGGACCCATGCGAAGAGGTACCGAGCCGAGGAGAGGGGGTGGGGAACGGCACTCTGCATCCTGCAATACGATATCCGTTCGATGCGCCTGCGTTTTGCGGTCCCGAAGAGAGCGGGTGGAAGCGAATTCGCGCGTGTGCACGCCCGGCTCTTGACCGCGTACGCTACCACCCTGCGGCTTATATGCCTAAGTGTGCGCCCCACCGCACCTGGATGTGAGCTAGCGTGAGTTTTATGTGTCTACGCGAGATGAGATGTAATACACGCATGCGAGAGGGAATAATGCATGCGCGAGCGAATGACGATCCCTCGCGAAATCGCGTCTCATCTTTCTTTCACGGTTCTCTTGGTGCACGGCTACTGCCTGCTAAATAATAGGCGATCGATAATTTCACGAATCTCACTCGTAGTGAAACTGCAGTATTATGCATCGCAGATTGTAATCTGCTGATAATCCATTTCCATTAAGAAAGGCGCGATAAAAATAGCGAGATTATTCATTCCTGCTATTTAAAAGCTTACGATTCAAGTTTATATGTATAAAATCGTATATTTTTATATAATCTTACGGTTTTAAATTTATCATAAAATAGTGCAATAAAGTTTGACGTTATTCGATTAATGTTTCACGGGGAAATAAATAACTATTGTATACCTCGCGTTTAATCTCTCGATTAAAACGATTAGAGCTGCGCGAAACTAATTGCAATTTCGATAAAACTTGGAATTGTTTACAATATATTTCAACCTTTATATTTTATCGAAAAAAAATGCGAGTTACTCGACTATATATAAACTATATCGACTATCGTACCGTCTTCTGTTACTAACTGCGAATGTATACGACCGCTAAGGATTTCAATTATCGCCAGTGTTACAATTGTCCCTGGTTACAATTGGCCCCGCAAATGGTGCTATTGACTTATCCGACCGTCCGGCGCGACTATACGATAACCAAGACTTCAATCACGATTAAGTTAACCGAGACTGGGTTGCAATCGAGCTACTACCGGCTGTAGCTTCCGTGTAACATCGAGGGTACGTGACTTAAATGTGTCAGGTGGCGAATGTTTCAGAGCGGAGGGTCGCGTGATTCAAGGGGACAAAAAGCTGCCATAAATTGCAACAACGTGCCCGAGGTGCGGCACAGCTTATAGGACAGTAACAAATGTAGATTGCCGGAATGTATCGATTTCAAAGATCTAAAGCGTGCTGACAAGTGTTGCGAAAAAAAATGAACTAAAATTGATTGGCAAATAATTCGCGATAGATGCGATAAAGAGATTATTTCGGGAAGAATGTTCTCATTGAATTTATAATAATAGCTATATAACTTTAGAATTGAAATATAAGCGAAACATATAAATGTATGTATATACATATTTTAATTCTAAAGTTATATAGCTATTATTATAAATTGCTCTTTGTTTTACACATGTTATACATATAAAATAAATTTACTGAATTACTATATCAAAAAGGATTAAAATTAAATCGTTAATATTTAAACAATTAAATTCTGTTTTAAATGAAATGAATAACATTGCAAGTACGTTATTCATTCAGGATACATGGTATGTTAAATCCAATAAAATAATATCGATAGCATTAACGAGCAAAATAACTGTATTCTTGAAAATTTAAATATCACAATATTTTTTTAATGTGCA